CACTGAACTTTTAATTGTCCTAATTTAGTCCATCGACTATCAATTTTGTCTTAGTTAAGTTCTTCCGTCAATTTCCACTATTATATCAAATGGAAACATATAATCTAATGGTGAAAATTGATTAAATTGGACTAGTCCCATTTGATCTAACAGTAAAAACATACAAAAAGACTTAATTGGGACGAAATTCATAGTTGGGAGATTAAATTGAGATAATTAAAAGTTCAAAGACTAAATTGAAATCGAAAATAAATTTTAGGGATCAATTATGATTTTTGCCGTACAATTAAAAATGACAACATTGATGAACAAAGACACTAGACTTAATAGAGGCAAGTGACCAACCGGCCAGCTCAATTAAACAATGCTTATCATCAAATTAGTATTTTAGGTTAAATGGTCAGAGGAAAGCGGGTTTGGTAAACTCACCCATCAATATTGTCATTTATATTGTCATTTTTAATTTTATATGACAATAAAGTCATGCCAAATGATGATGTCTAGAAAATGATTGGAATTTAGAAATTGGGCGAAACATGAAAGAAACGTAATTTCTTATTCTTCTTTTTCTTCCCTATTAGGGATAACTCGTATTTGAATTCACGATACAATGTAAATAGTTTTAAAAGGGATGTTAGTGGTCGTTGGATGAATATATTTGAAACCGTCGAATAAATTTATTAAAATCTGTTATGTTTTATATTATAAATTATTTTTAATCTTGCAACTAACACAATGATTCCTTATAATATGTCGTTATTAGCTGTCTAACTTTAACATGGAAATAATGATTGTATTTAATCAACCTTTTTATCAAATAACAGCCTGAGAGGCCATGCTCGTCCTTGTCTTTCGTCCAAAGTGAAGCAGCATCACACTGCGTGAATTAAGTGCTCGTGAAAAATTGATTGGATTCGTATTAAAATTAAATAAAACCAATTTGACATGAAAAATTAGGACTATTAGTGGGTCGGTTTCGTGTGGGTTTATATATCATGTCTAAGTTGTGTCGAGTTAAAATTAGTTTAGTTCATGTCCAACCCATATGTAAGTGTACATAGTCGGGTTCATGTGGTATGAGTTTGTGTTGTGTATATGTCATATTTAGTGAATTTGTATCGTATTTAACTAGATACATGCTAACTCTTTCACTTTTAGCTAAATTTTATCACGAGTTTCTCCTTCATTCTAAACCCTAATATTATCACTCGTTGGTTTTTGGTCGCATGTAATGATCATAGCTTATTTCCAAGAGTTAAACTTATCTCTGAGATGTTATAAATTCTCAATAAATCTTTATTGGGTATTTTTGTACACAACATGGCTATTGTATCTATGATCTAAAAAAACATGTTTTCACTAACCTCGACATTTTTGTAATCGATCATAAATAACTCTAATCAGTTATAAGTATACTTTTAAAAGATGTAACTTGACCGATAAAATTAATAACATTCAATAATCTACTACGTAATTTTTTTTTCTCCGATACCTGGTGATATCCCTAATATGTGGGCTTTCAAGCTTTTGTTCATTTCATCAAGACAGTCAAATTACACTAGACTTAGAGTAGGTTCTCGTTTTTCAGTTTATGATGTATGAGCCTATGAAAATACTTTGAACTGATCTGCCTGTTCATCAGTTCAAAGTATTTTAATATAATCTTTCTGTTAGTTTATGTTATTTTTTTCGTCAAAAGTCAATCTATTGACCGGCAGAGCTCCTCTGCTATTGACGAAAAACAGCACAGTGTGCTATTAAACAAAACGCTGGGGTTTTGTTAAATGTGGTCCCCTGTGAAGATATTTTCCGCACAAGTAGACAAACAATTTTTAAAATACAAAGTCTTTACTTGCACTCTTCCACCAAAATACTAACTGGACATTTTTTTAAATATTGTATTTTTTAGTCTGATCACAAAATAACACGTGAAAAAATTATTTATTATTTTACTTAACTTTTTAAATTTCAAAGATAAAATAAAACTCAAATTAAAATTTATAAATAAAAAATCTATTTAATATATGGTACTGATTTTTTTTTGAATATGATACTGAAAACATTTACATGCTGAGTTGTGTTTGAATTGTTTATTTCGGGTTCATGTTAAATACAAGTCAACCTTATTTAATTTATTTTATTAATTATGTAATACGTCATGACACTAGTCATACGTATTTATTATCAAACTATGTTCGAATTAACGTATTTAAATTTTGAATCTAAAATGTAAAACTAACATTTATTATATTTGAACAAAACTATCTCATAATTTTATTATTGATTAAAAATTTGCTAAATTCACCAAATTATAAAAAATATGTAAACAATCATCTTTTACAAGGATTCATATTAATACCCAATAAAGAAATAACCATAATATGGTATCTCATTTATACAATAAAAGTTAAATATGTTAATCATGTTAATTTTACGTTTTTTCATGTTGACAATTCATATATTTTTAATTCGTATCAAAAAATTGTAAGCATTAACCTTTGAATTTTGTATTTGGTTTGAACTATTTTATTATATCGTATAAAAAAGAGCAATGCTATAGGGATATAATTTATTGACTTAATTTGTTGACCAAATTCATTATGATCTTTGAATTAACTGTGAGCTCCATCAAACATTGGAATTTCGTGGTTATCTAATAGTTTCAATGAAGTCACGTCATTAAGTCAGCAAATTATGTCAGATTTTTAGGTCAAAATAGAATTTTCCATAAAAAAAATCCCACTCTAAATGTAAGTAGGTGATTAAATATTTACTTTAGTTGAAGTATAAGTATGTTTAAATATAAATTATTAAATTAACCATCTGGTGTAAACAATTTAGTTGTTTTTGTGGTTCATATTGTGTTTTATTTTATAGATATTGAAATATTTTAAATAAAATTTTCGTTCACATCCTTGTGGGTAAAGAATTCTCACCATTGGCCACATCTAACAAAATGCCAGTTTGTTTAACAGTACACTGTGCTGTTTTTCGTTAACAGCATAGGAGCTCCGCCCATCTATTGGCACTAACGGAAAAATTAACGATAAACTAATAGAAGTGTCACATTACAATATTTTTAATACTTTAAAAATAAAATGTGAAAATTTGTTTGAAAATAGTTCACATGCAACGCACTTGTGCAATACTAGTATAGATTATGGAGGGTTCGAATATTTTCTAATAAGAACAAAAGATTTGAACTGCTATTTATAGATATTTCGTGTGATGGTATCTTCGAAAACTCACATTTAATTAATCTTTGCCAGTTCATTATGATGGTATTCATCTAGTTCTGGATCATTTTCGGGTTTGTATTACCGGGTTGACATTGATAATTAAATAGGTTAATCATGTCAAATTTTGTTACACAACTTCTGACACAAGATGTCGTGTTTATTATTTGTGCTAGCGCCTGATATTATTTTATGGTTTGTTTTAAAATTAATCATTTTTAAACCCGTTAATTGCGTGTCCCGGAAATATCGAGTCAAAATAGATCCGTTTTGTTTGTGTGAAGGCCCAAGTTTTTGAAATCAGACGGATGTTGATGGGTGGGTATCGTTGTTTTCCTTTTGCCTTGATTCCCAATGAGTTGATAAAATTCGATCCAGATGATCTGCAATGCTTTTCTCTACAATTCTTCTGTTTAACAGATTAACTACCTTTAATGAGTGGAAGACACTTACATACAATGAGTGTTACTTAAATAAATGGTAGATGATCCATTAAGAAGAAAATAAAAGAGAAAATATACAGAATGAAATCTCATTTCAGTAAAAAGGGTTGATTAAATACAATCATCATTTCCATGTTAAAGTCAGATAGCTAATAACGACTTACTATAAGGAATCATTGTCTTAGTAATTTCAAGATTAAAAATAATAGGGCAAAAAGACAAAGAAGAAAAAATTGCGTTCCTTTCATATTTTGCCAATTTCTTAAATTCCAGTCATTTTCTAAACGTCATCATTTAATATGACTCTATTGTCATATACAATTAAAAATGACAATATTGATGGGTGAGTTTACCAAACCCACTTTCCTCTAACGTTCTACCAATTAAATCAATCACAAATTTCAAATTCTAGCAATGCTTTAATGTTTATATACAATTAAAAATGACAAACATTGATGAATGAAGACACTTAACTTAATAGGCAAGTGACCAACCCAGCCGGCTCAATTAAACAATGTTTATCATGGAGCAGGTACATATTTTATTTCTCGTTTCATAGCTGATCAACCACCACTTTCAATGAATATGGATCCAAATCCACATTAATTAATCTTTGTCAGGTCACTGTGACAAATGAAATGAAACCATTAACACTTTTAATGTAAAAGTGTGTTTGCAAGACGCATTTTCGAAGTTTTCTATTGAAAGCCTTGTTTCATTGAAAAGCAAGCATAGGTTCAAACAATTCTTTCACACAGAAAAGCTTGAGTTTAATCTATGCATCCATATTGAAGTTATATGGGTAAATTTCATCGACACCAAATGAATTTAGGTCATATTTCAAGGTATCCCCTCTGATTTTTGAAATATGGGTTTTGTGGATACAAGCCTTTATAATTTGAAAAATTTTACAGAAGTCGGATTATTGGAACACTAACAAAGTAATTTGCAAAGAGAAATAGAGATTAAACAATTTTAGTGAACAGTAACTAAATTTTCATGCGATGCAATTTTAGTTAACAGTTGATAAATTTTGATTGATTACTTGAGATATGAGGAGACAAATTAGTCAAAGATTCCTCACCTCATATGATAAAAGCAAACAATTGTATTGTTTGGAGGTGCTTAGTGTTAAACAAAACTAAGACACAGCACTTAGCACAAAGCACGCAGCTACATTTTTTTATTTCTCTTTCACACTGCACGCCAGATAAACCTCTTTCATTTCACATTTTCATGGCATCTCTCTCTCTCACCCTCTCTCTCCCTCTCTCTGTGCCTGCCTGTGTGTGAAGTTAATCTTCAATGGTTGACATTCAAGGTGTAGCGGCTGATCTTGTCAAAGAAATATTGAGTAAGGCAATTTCTCTTGCAGCTGAAGAGATCGGCCTTGTGTGGGGCTTCAAGGGAGATCTGGCTAAGCTCAAAGACTCAGTTGAAATGATTCAAGCCTTTTTAGCTGATGCCGAGACACGAGGAGTTGGCGAGAAGTCCGTCAAGCTATGGCTGGAGAAGCTTAAGGATGAAACTTATCGAGCCGATGATGTCTTGGATGAGTTCGCTTACGAAATCGCCCGGCGAAAGGTGGAGATTCGAGATCAAATGAGGAGAAAGGTGCGCTTTTTCTTTTCAAGTTCTAACCCAGTCTTGTTTCGCTCCCGAATGGCTCATAAAATCAAGAAAATCAACACATCCTTGGTTAAGATCAACGAAGAAGCAAAGGTTTTGGGACTTCGACTGAGTTTACTAGCAGCTCCTTCTCAAGTCACTGTAGATCACCAAGGGGCCGATTCCCTTCTTCACCAAGGGGTTTCACAGGTGGCTAACCCCCAACTCTTTATTGGCCGAGAGACCAACTCACTTCTTCACCAATCTGAAGTTGTTGTAGCAAGGGATGGTGATGCATCAAATATAGTTCAAATGTTAACCAGCCCAAAAAATCAGGATGTTGTCTCTGTGATTCCCATTGTGGGAATGGGAGGCCTTGGAAAAACAACTTTGGCTAAGTTAATCCATAATGGCGATGAGATAACGAGACACTTCGATTCAAGAATTTGGGTATGTGTATCTGAGAATTTTCGATTCAAGAATTTGGGTATTTTGATATAGTGATTATAAGTATTTGTTTTTGATTTTACCATTGTTATGACCCAAGTATATGAAATTAAGAATTGAGAGTTTCGTTATGAAAGTTTCAAGTGGTAACTGTTTTTATAGTAATTTTTTATGCATTCAAAACCACTAACAAATTTTAAGAATAAAATTGAGAACCTAGAATTTTAAACAAATTTTGAAAGTCAATGATGTTGTACAAAAATTTTGTGCAGATTCGGACAGTCTTTTTGAATAAGATTTTGGCCTCACTATTGAAGTTTTACTGCCCAATATATCTACTGTAATTGGGTCTATTTGTATACTGTACACTCTCAAATTGCACAATGGTGAAAATTTTTAGTTGATCTTTGAGTAGTCATTCCATCCGATTATGAATTTCCCTTTTGAGATACCGTAAATTATAATTTATATCCTTAAAATTTGTACCTAATTCCTACTTGGTCTTTCAAATTTCAATTTCAACAATCAAATCCTTCAAGTATAAATTGAGCTTCTATTTAATCCATACGTTTAAAATCAATAATTTATTATGGCAAAATGAATTTTCGTGACTAACAAGTGACTTGGTTAAAGGGTATATTTATTTGGGGAAAAATCATTTATGCATTGACTAGAAAACTTAACTTTATTTCATTTGATTTTGAGGGAAAAAAAAACTATAACAAACCCAAAACGAAAGACGGAGAGTCAGATTTTGAGATTTGTTGTGAAATGGATAGAGAAATACCAATGCACCTAAGAGGGATATTTTTTGTTGGACAAACACATTTTTATGGGCAAGTTCTGAGACATCTTTTTGTTAGAACACTTTTAACAAATTTAGATCAAATGACTGAATTGAAACTCCATTAAAACTTTAAGGATGTAATTGTTTTAATGATAACTTTAGGAACCAAATAGAAACTGAGTGTATACTTTAAATTTATTAATTATAAATTACCCTTTGAGATAAACCGTACTGCTGGGATGTCAACAGACACCCGAGTGTAGGTCTCTGAGAGCGGCTTGAATGTTCCATTAACTAGTGGAAAATGATGATAAAACCTTGAATTGTATCGTAAGATATATGTACTGGATACTTGTTAAGCAATTGACATATTCTTGTACCCCGAGACACATTGTTTACTTTAAATGATACTAAAGTTTATGGCAAATTGAGTCGTTGTACTACATTACAAATTGTTGAGATTAAGTTGTAGTTTTTTTTGCATACTATTTAAATTTTTATTAGGATATTACTTTTCCAATATGGCGATGACTAAACTCTATTAAATTTTGCAGGTCTCAAGACAACGTCGCAAAGGGAACACTTAATTCTAGACTCTCTTGTTGGTTACTTATCTTCGAGTAGATTTTGTGTGTATAAAGTTGTACCTGCTTTTGAACTAATCATGTTTATGTGTAGCCAATATCTTTTGGTATGAATTTGTTGAATCATTTTGTATGAACTATGCTTATGTCTGTACGAATTTATAATGTGATGGGGTTTTTACTAATTTGCTCAGGCACTCTATGAACTATCATGTTAATTTAAATAATACATGTCAGACTGCTAAGAAAAGTTTAAATGATCTTCAATAAAAGGATACTTGTACCAGAAATTGATACAGGTGAGTAGGTAAAGAATACCTCGGGATGTGAGACAAATCTATGTCTATTCTTTCAAGTAATTTTGGTGACTTTTTTCTAATGGTTTTGTTTAAATATCCTTCCCATACAATTAATTTCTGTATATGTGCTTGAAATATTGGTTCTTGATGTGAAGTTTGATCTGGGTTGTGTTTATTTAATGTTTGTGTATCTCTTTATAATGAAAGATTTGTTCTTTTGATGGAATGTCGAACAGGGTTGGTTTATTTTTTTCCTTTGATGGGTGTGTACCCTTTTCACAGTGATCTCTTTACATGAATATCCCACTGATTGTGGAGGAAAATGTTGGCGTAATCTATTTTATTAAGCATTACACCTGGGAAAAAAAAAGGCATGGAGGTCATAGTTTTGTTTTGAACCCAGGATAGGAGAGATAAACAGCATTTCAATAGTCATTGATCATTTATAGTAGAACATATTTTGATTTAGCCAAATTTCTCTTACATGAGTAATTTTCCATGTTAGGAAAATTAATGGGACTACCAAAAGCTTTTGTGTCGATGGATTATGGAGTACTCAAGAAAACTCATGTGTTGAAAGAATTAAGAAGTTACAATAGTTTGCATTATATTTTATGATCAATCACGTTAAAACGGTAGTTTGAGGTACCTTTATGTTGAGAAAAAAACGTGAGTTGCAAAGCGTATGCAATGGAGTAAAAGGTACTTGAAAGTATGTTAGATTCGAAAGTAGTTCTCATGTATAGTTTTTTTAAAGTGAAATGGGTGCAACAGGTTTTATGTGGCTAGAAGCTTTGCCAAGTAACTGCAATATTATAATCTATTAGTTTTGTTAAGTGAATTTAGATGATATTTATGTTTCTTGGTAAATCATGTACTCATCATTCTATGGGTTTTTCGGTAAGTATAATTTTTGTGGTCACTTAATAAATATTGTTGCTTTATGTTGATGTAATGGATTAAATACGTGTCTACCAAGTTTCAAAATTAGATTTTGTGCATTTTCTATAGGACGACAAACTATTTGAAGTGTTTGAATAGTAATTGGAAGAAGAATTTCTCAATGTAAGTTTGTCATGTAAAATAGCTTTTTATTAGGAACTTGATTAGTTTATTGGATATAACCATTGTTTATATTTTCTTAACATTGGGCATAATTTCGACTCATTTGGCGGCTGGAACTGCAGGCAAACTTACATACAAATCTTGGAGATACCATAAAAGATAAAAACAAGACAACTCCTAAGAATCTCACAAAGTCATTGATTTTTCTTCATTGTCACATCTATGAAGGATTAAAAAATGAGTACCTCACAGTTAAAGTTCCTTTAGAGTTGTGAAAAAAAATTAAAAATCAGGTTTGATCACCAAAAGACCATTATCCTTCCGAATGCTAGACATGAATAATTCAGCCGTCAATTTCAAGATTTTAAGAATGTATGCGAATACAATTCCACAATACATAAAATTATTGTTAAATTAGAATTATATGGTCAGCTTGTACAAGATTCAGAAAAATTAGAGAATACCTATTTAACATTCCATACGTCAAACATTTTATTACAACAACAATATAAGCAATTGGGTTCAAGACACATACTGAGCTCATGATATGCCTTTTACTTGCCGAGTAAAATAATGAATTACTAATGAAGAATAACGAGTCTCGTCCAACTTGACACCAAGTCTTTTTAAAAGTAAATAACACATCTTTTCGTGGTTAAGGACGAGAGCATGGTTATGGTCTTGGCAAAAATAAAAACAATCATTTTCGCAAGAGTTATCGTGAAGGCTCAAAGTCCTTCACACCAAGTCAGAAATGGAGAAATGCCCCCACACCACCAAAACTGGAACAACCATTCACAGAACCAAAAGTGGAACAACCAAAGCAAAGAAAAGAGTTTATCGAATAAGCTCTCTAAGAAGACTGAAGATGCTTGTTACAGATGTGGAATGAAAGGACACTAGTTGCATACCTACCGTATGCTGAAACATTTGGTAGATCTCTATAAAAAATCCATCGATGCAAAAGAAAAATTGATAGAGACGAATTTGGTGAGGGACATCATGCACCACCCTCATCGATTATCCATCCGATTTTGCTAATTTGATTTCTTTGTGATGTCTCTGATTTCTTTGGTGAACTCGAATGAAAATGAAATGGGAAAATATATTAAAACAATAATTTGCATGTATGTCTGTTAGTTTTGCTTAAGTTTGCTATTTATTATTTTTGTAATGTAATAGTTTGAGTAGTGTCTATGTATTAATAAAATCAAGCGTGTATTTTTCATATAGAAACATAGATCATGATAATTCATTGGTTAACTCTAAAATGAACAATGAAGATATATGTCACGCAGATAGTGTCATGACTCACACAATTCTTCAAGATAAAAAGTATTTCTTTAGACTAACATTATTTAAAGCTAGTGTTAATACAATATCAGATCCTATAAACTTGATTGAAGGCTCTGGCAAAGTAAATAAGATGCTACCCCATGGAACAAAGCTCTTCATTGAAAATGCATTATACTCTAGTAGATTTAGCATAAATACTAATTTTTAAATACATACATTGTAATGAATATCATATTGAAATGACGAATGAGCGTGGCATAGAGTATTTATACATCAATTATATTGTATCATGCCATAAACATGTACTAGAGAAACTTCGTACTCTCTCTTCTAGTTGTACTATACTAGAATCAAATGTTATGATGCACTAGAAATGCTCTGATCCAAAGAATTTTATGATTTGACATGATCGTCTTGGTCATCCAGGATTAATAATGATACGTATGATCATTGAGAATTCACATAGAAATTCTCTAAAGAACTAGAAGATTCTTTTACCAAGTGATTATCTATGTTCTGCTTGTTTACAAGATAAACTTATTATTAGATCATCCCTCTCAAAATTAATTTCTGAATTCCCTAATATTTTGCATTGAAATCAAGGAGATATATGTGGGTCAATACACCCTCTGAGTGGGTCATTTCGTTATTTCATGATTTTAGTAGATGCATCAACAAGATGGTCACATGTGTGTCTACTTTCTACAAGAAATGTTGCATTTGTAAGACTTATCACTCAAATAATCCGGTTGTGAGCTCAAGTCCTAGATTATCCAATCAAACCAATGTATTTGGATAATGCTGGTGAATTTACATCATAGACATTCAATAACTATTTCATGTTAGCAGGAATGGATATTGAGCATCCAGTTGCACACACTCATACACAGAATGGTCTAGGTGAGTCTTTTATTAAACGTATTCAATTAATAGCTCCACTCAAACTTATGAAGACAAAATTACCTGTTTCTGTCTAGGGACATGTTGTATTGCATAACACATCTTTAATACGTGTTCGACCTA